ACAAATGTGGGCAGTGGGTGGCACCTGTTGCTCAGTGGGTAGGATGCCGGCTACATACACCCAGGCTCGGGGGTTCAAATCCAGCCTGGGCCAGCTACACAACAGTGACAACTGCAACAACAACAACAACAAAAATAGCCAGGCAATGTGGTGGGCGTCTGTAGTTCCAGCTGCTTGGGAGGCTGAGACAAGAGAATCGCTTAAGCCCAGGAGTTGGAGGTTGCTGGGAGGTGTGACGCCACAGCGCTCTACCGCGGGCAGCATAGTGAGACTCTGTCTCAAAAAAAAAAAAAAAATGGGCATCAGTAGCATCTCCCTCCTGGGCTGTTGTGAGGGTTGAATGAGGCCAGGTCACAGAGTTTGAGTGTGCAGTAAATGTTTGATCCATGTTAACGCAAGAAAACATAAGCACCCCTTTGAGGTAGACTGGGGGGGGATGTGACTATGGCTTCCTTTTTAGAGTTAAAGAAACAGTTTCAGAAAGGTGATGCGACTCGCCCAAGGTCACTGGACTGATTGGTGAGGGAGACTCGAGGCTTCCATTGATTCCATGAGATTGGTGATTACAAGCACAAGCTCTGAGCCCACAGAGTGGGGCTCCTCTCATACCAGTGCCACCACTCCTTAGCCATGTGACTCTGAGCAAATCATTATTGTCGCTGAGCCTTGGTTTTCCTTATCTATGAGGTAGAACTGCCTATCTCCTCTCAAGGAAAGGAGATGGTTGGCCTCACAGAATGCCTGCCCCTTGTATCTGCTGGCTTGGGGATTTTTTTGCCCAGCTATTTGAGGACAACATTTTTTTCTGTTCTTTGTGAGAAACTGAGCTCAGCGAGTCACATCACCTTAGGCCAGGTGAGTAGGAAAAGAAGAGCTGGCATCTGCCATCCACAGCCAAGAGAGGAGACATTGCCCCAGACTGGGAGGGGACTCTGCTCCCTGAGGAGATGGCGGGACCTCTAGGGGAGTCTCCAGGTGGCACATCCTGGAGGGTGAACACAAGGCACAGTGTTTTCAAGTCTTGGCAAAGAATCTGGACTCCAGGGGTGATAGAGAAGTAGGCGAGGATGGACTCTGGGGGTTCCAGCCAATTTGGACAACGGTCATCCATTGTAGTGGCAGCCAGATGGGGCTGGGAGTGAGGGAAGCTCAGTGCACATTGAGGTTCAGTTTCCCACTGGCCCAGTAGGATGAGGGCTCAGAGTCCTACTGAATGTGATTAAATCAGAATGAATAAAAGAACGCTCTGTGCCCATGTGAGGGTGTGCAGTGAGAGTAAGAGGCACAGTGAGATGAGGAGGGAAGAGAGGCCGGTGCAGAGGCTTCGTTTAACTGGGTCAGGCTGCCTCCTTGCCCACCTTCTCTGCCTTAGGCTGGCTGTGAGTGGCCAAAGCATAAAGGACGCATTTCACTGGGCCCTGGGCAGATCAGGGGGCCACCTCCCATGAGCCATAGGTAGTTACAGAGCTGGGGCCAGGTCCCTGGGGTGCTGCTTTCCCGGGCCTCTCTGAATGCCTCCCTGGCCCTCCTCAGCCTCAATCCTGGCTTTCATGTCCCCAAAGCTGCTATATGCCATTCATTCTAGGGAAGAACAGCTCGCAGCCTCATTCCACCCTCATCTCTGTGTATGGCAAGGGCAGATACGGAGCAGATATGGTGCTGGTCAAGCTCTTTCATGGCCGTTCAGTCTAGTTCGGGTACCTACCTGTCCCTCTGCCGCATCACTCAGCCGACCCTCACGACAAGCCTTTGACCCATACGTCTCAGAAGAGGATGCTAAGCAGGAGAAAACTGGGGGGCTTTGCCTTGGCTGGGATTCAAACCAGGCACCGACCCCAGGGTGCACTCGTACACACTGCTCTTCCACTGAGGAGACCTCTACAGAAGCCTACGCCTTCTAGATCCCGGGTCCCCTAACACTACAGGGCAGTTTCCCCATCTAGAAAACAAGGGCGCTGGATCCACCAGGTGGCCTCTGAGGCCACTGCCAGCCCTGGTCTTTTGGAGTCTTTTCCTGGCTGCCATCTGCAGTTGAAGCCTGCACCTGGGAAGGCAGGACAGCCTGGGGGTTGAAGGGTAAATCACTCAGCCCCCGTCTGTAAAGTGGGCACTTACTACACACAGTTGTGAGGATTACATAAACCAAACCACAAAAGGCCCTTGGAGTGGTGCCCAGCACACAGTAAGCCTGCGGTGTGTTTGTGAGGATTGGCTCTGTAACGAAATGAAAGCCCAGACCTGATTCTTGGTCCTGTCTAAGGAGGAGGACGCCACCAGCCCTGGACATTCCTGCAACTGGCCCCCCCCAAACCTCAGGTGACCAGAAAGGATATCAGTCCCCTGCTCCAAACTGGCCCATGTGGCTTCTTATTTCCCAGGAGGGAAAGGATAAGATAAGAGCACAGGTTTTCTGGAATGAGGAAGAAGGCTAAAATAAAAGAACAAAAAATATCTACTCACACCTCTGTGACTGGGCACCAGGAACCACGCAGGCTGAGGGATCCTGGTTGTTCTGTGTCCACTCTGAAGGCCTGGCCGTGGGTCCCACTCGGAGTCCTGTTGAGCGGCTGCCCCCACACTGGCTTTCTCTTGCTTTCACACTTTCTCACAGATGAGTGAGTGTGAGCAGGTCTGGCCTTCCGTCCCTGTCACCACTTCCCCTCCAGGTCCCCCGTGCCACAACATTCTTGCCCCTAGGTTGTTTCTCACGAGGAACTGTGGCCAGGGTGGGGCCCAGGCTCAGGCCCTGCAGTCAATAGACTTGGGTTCTTATCTATCTTAGAGGTTAGGATGTTGAGCAATTCACTTGATCACCCTACTGCTTGGTTCCTTCATCTGTAAAATGAGGATAATGCGCCAATCTCGTATAGATCACCTAAAAGAATATTTCATTCTCATGTGTCTGTCTTCATCCCTGGACCAGGACTTTGAACTGCAAATGCTTACAGTTAGCACGTAGATAACATAAAGGGGTGATGGGTGCTGCTGTGGGCAATGTGAAGTAGTGGGGACTGTGGGGAAGAGGGGAACACAGAACCCAGCTAAATGTA